AGAATACTTACCCTGGTCAACTTAGAGCAAGCGTATGTCCCACTACTACTACTGCAGCAGGTGTTCTCTTGCAAATTCCACCTCCTGGCTGGAAGCCATCCAACTCAGACCATTACAGCAACTCTTGGCAGAAAAACACTGCTCCCAGGAAGAAAAAAACAACAGCTAACACCATTGTCTGTAACAGCCTGGTCCTGAGTCTGCCCACATGACAACTTCACTGCTAGCATAACCAACACTTGAGAAAGCCAGCACACTAAACGTACTCTACAACCAAGGAATCTCAGAGTCTACATCACTTCCCTGCCACTTCCACCCCTGCCGGGGCTGGCATCCACTGCTGGGAGACCTGAATATGGGTTGCATCTTTGTAGATGTTCCCCAGCATCAGACAAGAGCCTGGTAGCCCCGTTGAGTTGTTAGACCCAGAAGAGCAATAATAATCACTGAAGTCCAGCTCTCAGGAAGCCCCATTCTCAGGGGAAGGGGGAGAACACCACATCAAGTGATCACCTCATGGGACAAAAGAATCTGCAGAGCAGGCCTTGAGTTCCAGATCCTTCTGCTGGTGGGAAGTTTCTTACATCAGAGACACACCTGCAGTGCTGGGCACAATAAGGAAAGTTTAGGTAAGCAAGATCAACAATATCAGAAATATCGAGATGAAGAGAATTGAAAGAACTTCTCCCAGATTTGGCTTCCTGGCTTTCCCTTGTTCTCTCTCCCAGATTCCCTAATGACTACTTGTTGCCCTTCCCCCACCCCACAGAACCCAGAACATGAAGTTCAAAGGGATAATGGAATTTATGGGGAAGAAACTAGATGAAGAGACTGTCAAAAGAATTGCTCAGCACACATCATTTGAAAGGATGAAGAAAAACCAGATGACCAACTATGTAATGATAACCTGTGACATCATGGACCACTCCATCTCCCCGCTTATGAGGAAAGCTGCCTGCCAATCATCATGAATTTCTTTGAGAACAATATTATTACATAACTAGTATTTTGGGAAAGAATATTAACACACCTGTTTCCTTTTGTATTTTATTTTATTTTTTTAAAGACAGGATCTCACTCTGTCATCCAGGCTGGAATGCAGTGGTGCAATCACAGCTCACTGCAACCTTAAACTCTTGTGTTCAAGCAATCCTCCCACCTCCAGCCTCCCAAGTAGCTGAGACCACAGGTACACACCACCATGCCCAGCTAATTTTTTTTATTTTTTGTATAGACAGGGTCTCACTATGTTGCCCAGGCTGGTCTTGAACTTCTGGGCTCAAGCAATTCTCCCACCCTGGTCTCCAAAGTGCTGGGATTACAGGCATGAGCCACCATGACTGGCCTTATTACCTTTTTAATTAACATGATGCTGCCAATAACTCTGAGGTTTTCTCAAAATATTAATGTCTTTGAAAGAAAATAGATTGTGATGTGTACCTGTAATAAGAATTCACACTTTTTAATTATCTCTAAAGTTTCACTTTATGGAAAAAACATTCAGAATAGACTTCCTATCCAATCTCTCAGGCACAATTGCATTGCTTTTCAGGGACCACTGGAGAGTGGAAGCATTACTTCTCAGTGGCACAGAATGAGAGATTTGATGAAGACTAAAGAGGAAAATGGCTGACCCTTCTCTGACCTTCCACACGGAGCTCTAAAGAGAGACAAAGTCTATACTACACAGGGGCAATTTTATTATCCTGTCTTCCAGTTTTTATTCCCCCTTATCACTGCTTTTCCCTAGAAATGACTTCCTGAGCTTGCTGAAACTGTTTAGGCAAGAACTATAAATTACCTTTTCCTCTCTGCATGCACCTGGAAAATAAAATCATTTTGTTACGTAAGGAGCTGGGCTCAACATTCTTCACAAACTGACTGAATAGCTGTAACAGAAACCGTGGAACCTTTTTCAAAAGTCTGGTGGTTAAGTCTCCAAACCCAAGTTTCGAGGTCCTCAGGTCAGCTGGCCATGTTCTTCCACCCGTCACCTGGCCCTGTCCATCCCAGGAGGAGCATCTTCTCTGATGGACGATTGGCAGGAGAACCCCCCGACAGCTTTACTAAAGTTCTCTGAGAACTAAACCAGTCTAAGACTTTGCCTACCCAGTCTTCCTTCCTTCCCTCTTTCCTGCCCTTCTCCACAGGGGTTACTACTACACCAGGCTCTGACAGCCCTGCTCATTTATCCCACACAAGAATTGTCCCCCAATAAATCTCTTACTCTTACTCTATCTCAGTGATAGGCCAAGCATCTTCCTGTCACTCAAAAGGGAGCAATATTCTCCCTTTGTTAGAGTGGCCATTATATTTATGATTTACTGTGAAATTCAGATGTGCAAGTACTAGGTTAAGTCATTTGAAATTGGTATCAAAAAAGAAAGCAAACATTTAGGTATCACAGAGGCAGCAACTTCAGAAAGATGAGAATTACTGAAACAGGATCTTGGAGGAGGAGCGCGTGGAGAAACCCCCCACTCCTGGGCAAGGAGTGCAACTTGGCCAGGGCTCTGTTCCTGAGGACACTGTGAAGACGCTCGCTCTGAAGTGATCTGCACACTGTACTCTGCTGCTGCTACAGGAAGTGAATTATCTCAGGAGTGTCGCTCGCTGGAGCAAGAAGGCAGCGAACAGACCAAGTCCCTTCTCCTCCTCCCGTCTCTCAGTCTCTATGTGAACAGAGACTCAGAGAAGAGGCGCCAGCTGGCCCAGCGGAAACACGGATGGCAGAGTCCCAGCCCAGCATCTCAAAGAAAACCCGAGACACGTGAACTAGGACATGAGAGGCAATAACTTTATAAGCAGGCCAGACCTTTTTAAGCTCAAAATGGCCATTTCAAATAGTTCAAGCTAATTTGTGTGTCTGTGTGTGTGTAAATATAAATGTATATATGTAAATAGATGTGTGTGTGTGTGTGTGTTTGTATATATATTCTCATGTAAAAAAAAAAAAAAAAAAACCCAGGCCAGGCACAGTGGCTCATGCCTGTAATCCCAGCACTTTGGGAAGCCAAGGCGGGAGGATCACCTGAGGGTGGGAGTTCGAGACTAGCCTGACCAACATGGAGAAACCTCGTCTCTACTAAAAATACAAACTTAGCTGGGTATGGTAGCGCATGCCTGTAATCCCAGCTACCCAGGAAGCTGAGGAGAATCGCTCGAACCCGGGAGGTGGAGGTTGCAATGAACCGAGATCATGCCATTGCACTCCAGCCTGGGCAAAAAGAGTGAAACTCCATCGCAAAAAATAAAAATAAATAAAAAAATCTAAACTTACCTAAAAGAAATAAATCAATAGACTTACTATTGTTGGCAAACACTCCCTCTCCTCCTTCTGTTGGGGACTCCAGGTGGCAGGTGACTTCTCTGAAGTCTCAAATCCCTGCAAGGGCTCTCTGGAAGAGCGGTAGTGCCTGAACCTGAGGCTGTGAAATGACTGAGAGTGGGATGCCACAGTGGCTGTTGTGAGCTTGGAGGAATCCTCTCCATCTGACCAACTGAGGCAATGTTTCTCGGATGGCCTTTATACTGGTTTGTTTGAAATGTGCGGTTAATGCCAATGTCCAGCATGCCAGATGACACATTCTAGAAAGTAAATGAACAGTATGAGCTCCAAAATCCCTCCAACGTGACTGAGGGAAGCACCCATCCTTGGGTTGAGTCCATCTAAATGCTGAGAGAAATCCTGGCAGAGGTGGTCCCTAGAAAAGCCTGCCTCTCCAACACAGTGACAAGGGCCCATTTGTTCAGTGGCCCATTGTTCAGCGGCCACTCACTTCAAACTGAGTGGAACTTATAGCCCTGATAAGGCAGACAATTGGTTGAGCCAGAAGCTAAGTGACGTAAATAAAGGGCTGCCAGTCCTCCCACACTACCAAGGAACCAGAATCTCAGAATTAGAAAAAGCACTTAGAGATCATTCAGACAGGTGGTCAGGTAGCTCTTTTGATGTCATTAACTGAAGTGTCACTGTCTATGTATGGAGAAACTGGAAGTTTCTACTACGGTTAAATACACCAATGATCCAGCAATTCAAATCATAGTCATACACCCAAGAGAACAAGAGAGAATGCATCTGGCCCCCACCCCAAGAAAACAAAGTGTGAAAATCTCATAGAAGCTCTATTCATAATTACCAAAAACTAGTATCAACCTGTATGTCCATCAAAAGAAGAATGGATTAAAAAATTCTGGTATATTCATTCAGTGATATAGTATATGGCAATAAAAATAAATGAACTACTGATACTTGCTGCTGATACTTGATGAATTTCAAAGACATTATGTTGAAAGACCAAAGCCAGACACAAAGGAGGACATAACGTATGATTCCATTAATACGAGGTTTAAGAATAGGCAAAACTAAACTATGGTGACAAAAGTCAGAACAGCCTCTGCCTTAAGTGTGGGGCACTGGTGCAGCATTGACTGGGAAGCAGCATGAGGGAATTGTCCGAAGCAATGGGAATGTCCTGTATCTCGATCTGGATGGTGGTTATGTGGGTGCATACAGAAGTATAAATTCATCAAGACATAAACTTACACTTTGTGCATTTGTCTGTATGTAAACTGTGCCTCAATATAAAAGAACTCGTTGCAATAATGGTCCTCAAACATTGCAGTCTAACCTCTCACAGAACAGAAACAGACCTGAGATTTAGGTAACTCTCTAAGTCAGTCTTGGAAGTTGGGATGGAATTCCCAGCTGGACTGTCCCAGCTGGCAACATGTGCACCTAACATGGGTACCTAGCATGTGATATGTCAATAGAAGCATGAGTCTGCTCCGGTCTGGGAAAGGTGTTTCTCCAAATCTCCATAGATAACCAAACCCAGAAGAGAGAATCACTTTCCTTTCTGTAGGGAGAGTAACTCCAGGTGAAGACAAGGAAGAAGGAAGGGAATTCCTGGAGACTTGCTCCAGCCATTCCTTCAATATTTCCTCTCAATTCCCCATCTCCATGGGCATCCACAGGACCAGGAAGTGACCTCCTGGACTTGGGCAGGCCCCTGGACGGGTGCCCCGTTGCTGTTCTTCCTCCTGGCAGTACGGAGGTGCAACCCCGCCAGAATCTCACCAGTAGAAAGAGTAAGGCCTACTGTGGCACAATGCTGAAGATTTTGTTCCAGTTCTACCCAGGAGCCATGCAAATTGTCTCTTTGTTTGCCTGAGCATATTTACCTGTAATGAATGACCAGAGCTCTGTGCCTAAAACACTGAATACATAAAGCCCGTGTGAATCTCGACTTTCATTTACTTTTTACTTTCCCCTGCTGGTGCCCAAGACCATGGCGGAAGGAATAGCTAAGGAGAAGGTGGAGGAGACAAGTGAGTTAGAATGGGGCTTGTTACCCCCAGAGGAATTTTCCCAAGTGAATGGAATCATTCTTCAAAAGAAAACATGCGATTTCTGGGATAAGATCTGGAACTTCCAAGCCAAGCCTGATGACCTGCTCATTGCTTCTTACCCCAAAGCAGGTATGTACATGGACATGAGAGGAGGGAAATAGAAGTTGGAGCATGTAACAGCGCCTTACGGGGTCATGTAGTAAAATCAAAGAGCAGAGGAAGGAAGTGTCCTTGTCTATAAATCAGACAGAATGGCAAAGGATCTAAGATTTTTCTATAAAACCATAGGGATTTTTTTAGAGATAGAGTAGTTGGTTTATCAAAAATACATAACTAGTCAAAGCCGATTTTTCAGGTTAAAAAAATCCATGTTATTCATTTTTTTCTTTCGTTCAACAATCACGTATCAAGAATCCTCTAAATGCCAGAGACTGGCACCAAACATAGTGATGGGTAAAACGTTCGTTATCTTTGCCTTGCAGGGATTTACAGTACAGTCGAGAGAAGAACATTAAATCATTAAACAAATCATTTCACAGATCTGTGATTACCTGTGATAAGACCTTAGAAAGAAATGTAGAGGGTGTAATGAGAGAACATTGGGGCTCCTAATTTAGATTAAGGAAGTAGTACTCTGAAATTCTGAGCTACTGTGATTATTACAAAGGGAATGTATTATCAGTTTGCTATGGGTATGAAACAAAGTACCACTAGCTCAGTGGCTTAAACAATGATACTTATTGTCTCACAGTTTGGGAGGCCAGAAGTGCAAAATCAAGATACCTGCAGGCTTGGTTTCTTTCGAGGGCTGTGAGGAAAGGCACTGTTCCAGGCCTCTCTCTTTGGGAGGTATATGGCATCTTCACATTCACATTGCACTCTCCATGTGTGCACATCTACCTCCAAATTCTGCCTTTTTGTATAGACATTAGTCATACTGGGTTAGAGCCATCCTAATAACATCATTTCTATTTGATTACCTCTATAAAGATTCTATCTCCATAAGGTCACATTCTGTGGTACTGTGGGTTAGAACTTCAACATATTAATTTGGGAAGCACACAAGTTAGCCCGTAACAGGGAGCATGGAGAGGAAGTGTTTGCATATGCAGACAGGAGCAGGAGGACTTACTGATAGATGATAAATGGCGGGTGAGGGAAAGAGAGGAGACAAGATTTGGGGATAAAATGATGACGTGGATGCCAGTGCCAAGCACTGAGTCAGGAAAGTCCAGAGAGGAACAGTACTGAGAGGGGCCAGGGCATCTATTAGGCAGTTGAATGAATTGAAGGGGGTCAAAAATGGACTGGGGAACACAGTATGTGTGTGTTGCCATTTCCAGATGAGAAAGAAAGTAGCTTGGACTAAGGGGGCAAGAGTACAAATGGTGAGTGAGAAAAAAAATTGAGATGTATTTTGGAGGTAAAATTACTTGAGATCTGAGAGGAAGGGCTGACTCCTGGGTGACTCTCTTCTGGCTTTATCAGCTGAGTGGCCCCTTGGGCTGGGATGGGAAAGCCTGGGGGAGGGAGAGGCATGGAGCCTGTGCAGGAGGTGGGCAGGTTAAACTACAGCTCAGTTTGGGACGTGTTAAGTTTGAGATGACCTTTAGACCACTAAGTGTTTATGTCAGGGGGGCTGTCAGATATAGAACACAGAGGGAAGCCCACTCTGGCTGGAGATATAACTGGAGTTGCTGTAGATAGTGAAATCTCAGGTTAAATGCCCTAAGGCAGAGCCTGAGGCAAGGATTCAGGTACATGTGATTTATTGGAAGGGTGCTCTTTAGGAAAAAAAAAACAGTAAGGGTATGTACAGGATAGGGAAGGGGAAGGGGCCAAGCAAAGATGTGGCATTGGGTAAAGCCTTGCTCTGATGTGGTTAGGGCAGGAGAGGAAGGAATGGAAGGATGGACACTTTCTCCATTAGGAGCCCCGCTTCAGAGGAGGACACTTCTCTAGCAAAGCAGGGAGCTGAAAGACATGAGCGGCCAACGCTCACAGCAGTGGAGGAGATAGGGGGTGCAAGAGGCTGGTACAGAAGATCTGATGAAGTCACCAAAAGTGTCTACTAAAGATGATGTTTAAAGCAGTGGGAATGAATGGAACCACACGGGAAGAAAGCATAGAGGAAAAAGAGGGCACAGGACCAAACCCCAAGAAGCTTCCTCACTTAGATGTTGAACAGAGAAGAAGCCAGAAGTGAGTGGTGTCCTGGCAGCCAATGGAGTGAATCTTCGAGCCAGAAAGATCTGAACTGAGTGCCTGTTTTGATCGAATTAATCACGTGGCTGTCAGATGGGCACTGCACTTGGTGCCTGTAAACAGCCCCAGCCACAGCCTGGAATGACTACTGGGTTTTCTTTCCTCAAGTTGTCAGTTCTATCAACATGGATTCTACTTGAATCTCCTGGTGGCAAGATTATCCCCTGAAAACTTGAACTGCCTTTTTTACAAAGCAAGTCAAGTTATCCAGGGTCACACTCTTAGTAACTTCCCTCTAGGATAACACTTATCAATGTAGAACAAGAAATACTGTGCTACAAGTGGGAAATAATTATGAAAAGAGAACTTCATTTGAGTGAGAAGTTCATCTCCCTGGGACTCATGAGAACTGAGTATTTTCCCAGCTCAAATCTGGAAAATGAGAAAGCACATTTTTTCTGAGACTAGCTACAGGGCACGACAGATACTCGAGACATGCAGGAAACAGCTGACCTGATGCTGCAGTGACTTCATCATTTATCCTCCAAACTAAGTCATCTGAGATAGAAAGAGACACTGTTGATAATTAATCTGGGACAACAGAATCAACCTGTATAGACCCGGGCAAGTTGGAAGGTTATGGTAACCCTATAAATCACAAGCCATCCCAGATGCTAGGTTCCAGGTCCCATCTACTACTTACCTACCTAAGTCAGCGTGTCCTGACCTGAAATCATGATCCTCACTCCCAAACCAGCCCCTTTTCTTCCCAGGAAGCAGATACTGAGTTGAAGATAAGTATGTGAGATGTTTATTAGGGAGTGCTCCTGGGATCACTCCCCCTGGAAGTGAAGGGAAGAAAGTAGGATTGTCTAGAGGGAGAAGTTGAGCTTCAACTCAGTCCCAGCAAAAAGCCTCATATGGGATGATCTGAAGCTGGGATGGCCCTGCAAAGTTGGTTCCATCCCAGTTGAAGAGAGGGGAACAGAGTGTCAGTCAGTCCCTGGATGGAAGATGTCCCAGGAAGGGACCTGGAGAAGGCTGAAGAGCTGGGGGGCATCTGCCAGCAGCATCCCCAACAGCTGGTGGAATACACAATTCCATTCGGAAGCAAAATCTGGGCTGTGTATCTGGCACCTTTTACAATCTCCATGAACAGCTGTAGAGCACAGCCCTTGCCACAGCTTGCCTGAGCTATGCCATGGCTTGCTGAATTGCCATTCAGGTCAACATCTGTGCCTGGAATTGCCACCTTGTAGGTGGAGTCCATGGAAAAGCAGATATCAGCACGTGCTGGAAACCAGGCCATAGTGGTGACTGAGAAGCATAATCTAGTGGAACTCAGCTCCCCAGGGGAAGAGGGGAACAGTTACTGGTGAGTACGAGTCATGATGCAAGGTGCCCTGTCTGCGGTCTGGGTTGGGAGCAAGTCTGGAATGTGAGGCAAGGAGGTCTGACAGAAGCCCTTGCATAGTGTGGACCAACCAAACAGGAATAGGGTCAGGGGCCACTGAGGGAGCCCAGGTTTCCTGAGATGCTCACAGCATCTACGACAGCAAAGTCAAGTACAAAGGTGGAGTCTGGAGGTAGAGGCACCCATGACTTCCTCTGAGAGGTTGCTGGCAAGCAAGGCCCAAATTCCATGCTCAGAGTTGAGGGGAAAAGCAGAGCTAGCCTATGTGGAGAAGGGCTCTCTGGAACTGTCAAAGTAGCCTGGATTCAGAATTATGACAGCACATCATCAGGAGACAACAAGGTTTGAAGACGAAGCCAGTGCTGACGCCAGAAGGGCAGAAAGAGAAATTAGTTTTAGTGCAGAGTAGGAACTGACCAGGAGCTGAGCAGCTGGCACAAGGGCACAGTCTAGAGGAGGAGCCAGAACCATGGCACTGCACCCAGGTACCTCCATCAGAGTACTAGGGAAAGGAGACCAGGATCACAGAAAACTGGCATGGGGGAGCCACAAGGAGAATGGCACCTTCTTCCCCAGGGCTTCCCCAAGCACGGTGGTCCCATCTATTCCAACTCTGGCCCTCAGGATATACACCAACACCATCGAAACATGAAGACACCTACTACTTCTTTAGTGCCTGTGACAAGCTGGATTCTGCCTATTTTCTCTTCCAACTCACGAAACCACGTGAGAATCATTAATGTGCATCAGGTTTATGTAATTCATCCGAAACCACCCGACTCATACATCATATACAGGAGTCGAGTCCATTTAACTCCACAGCCCCACAAACATCAAATCCATGCTTCCCCCAGAAAAACAGGACCAGGTCAGCCAAGGGTCCCAGAAGCCAAACAAGGATGCACTTTCTGAGGACAGACACTGTCTGGCCAGGGCCTAGTCCAAGGAAGCCCAGAATCAGGAAGGAGATCGCAGACAAGACCGTGAAGAAAAACAAATTTTACCCTCAAATGCAGCAAAGGTCATTTTTTCATTTATAAGGAGTTCACCTTTCTTGTAGAAGCCACTGTTTAACTTTTCTTTTTTTTTTTTTTTGAAAGAGGAATTCATTCAATCTCATTTTTTCAGTTTGTGAATTATTTAAAATTCTTACTTTTCCTTCCTTTTCGTATTATCGACATTGTGTCAGTTCATTGGTTCTAAAAAAAATTTAAAAAAATTTTTTTAAAAGTAATCAAAGGAAGAGAAACTAGACTACTTATTAGCAGCCAGAGCTTTTAATGGTAAAAGTTAGGGTTTGGGAACTTCTGTGATTTTCTTCAAATGGAAATATTTTAAATAATCCCTGTTGTTACATACAATAGTTATTTGTATTATCATTTTATAGAAATACCAATGCATATTCAGATTTTTTAAGTACATCATTGGAGTACGAAAATAAAGAAGTCACATTTCTGCCCTTAACCTTTCTGGTGAGGAAAAGATAACCTTAATAGTTGGTTTTAAATCAATGTCATAGGCAACATAAGTGAGGTATTAACAGGCAAATTAATTTTTTATAGCATGTTTCTAAATTCTAAGTTGCAGAAAATCAATAATCAGTTCCTCAGATCTCTATTCTACTTTCTTTCAGGAACCACTTGGACACAGGAAATTGTAGATCTGATACAAAATGATGGAGACATTGAGAAAAGCAGGCGCGCTTCCATTCAACTTCGACACCCTTTCCTGGAATGGATACGAATGACACACTGTGGTAAGTCTTCTGTTTACAAACTCACAGTCTTCGTATAAAGATGAACAATTCAAGAGTAAACAGTCTGAAAGTCGAACATATTCTGGTGGGGAAAAACTCCCATTAATCCCTAATTCTAAGTACTGGATGAAAAATAACTTTTCTTGTGCATGTGCAAATCTAGATAGATCCTTTCACCTAACGTATTTTGCTTCAACACTTAACAATAGAGAGGTATAAACTGTCTGTTAAACAAAGTGTTTAACCAGTTACAAGTGCCAAGCATTAGCTACACCGTTCTCACCCAACAGAGTCCCTGCTTGCTCATGTGGCACCCCCATGTCAGTGCCAAAGACGTCTGGCACCAAGAACCACAGATTCAAATTTGGGATGCACCATGCACATCCCATGAAAAAATAATAAGTGTCATAGTCATAGCTAAGACTTTCATAGTACACATCAGGTGCCAAGCATTATTATTTTTTTATATATATATACTTTAAGTTCTGGGGTACATGTGCAGAACGTGCAGGTTTGTTACATAGGTATACACGTGCCATGGTGATTTGCTGCACCCATCAACCCATCATCTACATTAGGTATTTCTCCTAATGCTATCCCTTCCCTAGCCCCCCCACCCACTGACAGGCCCCAGTGTGTGATGTTCCCCTCCATATGTCAATGTGTTCTCATTGTTCAACTCCCACTTATGAGAACATGCAGTGTTTTGTTTTCTGTTCTTGCGTTAGTTTGATGAGAATGATGGCTTCTAGCTTCATCCCTGTCCCTGCAAAGGACATAAACTCATCCTTTTTGTATTCCATGGTGTATATGTGCCACATTTCTTTATCCAGTCTATCATTGATGGGTATGTAAATGGCTGACATTATTCTAAAAACTTTTTGCATATTAACTCACTATTCTTCACAACTTGTGAGGTAGCTGCCAGGTTATATGTGAAGAAATTGAGATACAGAGGGATTATGATTGCTCAAGGTCCACAATTAACAGGTAGTAGACCCAAGATTTGGACCCAGGAATTCTGTTTCCTAAGTCCATGCTCTCAACCACTAAGCTATGCAGTGTGCGTGAATGTGTGTGTGTCTCCTATGTGGACTCCAGGTATAGGTATCTGAGGGATAGAGTGGAATTAAATAGTCCATGTTGGACCAGCATTGATACCTGGTCATCTTTAATTAGACTTTTTCTACAGAAATCAATTCTAGTTCCATCTGAACAACTGACTTGTGACCTCATCTTGGGAAATAAATGAACAAACTAATGGCCTAAAACCAAATCTTGCTCATTGTCTTCTCTCTCATTCCCTTTTTGTGGGAGGAGAGGTAGGGTGGGGGGAACTAGATGAACATGTGCCAGGTTTCCCAAACCGTTCATTTGGTATCATACCAGTGTGCTTGAGAAAAATCACCAAAATGAGGGTTAAATATAATAGGGAACAGGTTTTGAAAAGTGTTCTAGTCCATACTAAGTGATCTTGGTTTTACCCTAGAGGCCATCTGTGGACATATTTTTGAGAGTCCTCAAGACCTCTACAACAATTTCTTAATTATGATTTTATTTTCATGGTAATTAAAAAATATAAAGTAAGCACATTCTAGGTCACCTGGATGATCACCATGTAACCAGAATTCCGCCAATGTGGTCTCATTGTCCTCGTTTGCATTGGTGCCAACAATCCCCTGTTGCCAAGTGGAACTGTGGTAATTTCTAAAGGCTAATGGGATGAGAAATGGAGAGGACACTTGACAGTGAATAATATACCAAATGAAGGCCAATGTAGCAAAGAATCAGAGGTACAAAAGGACATACAAAGTTCTAAGTACTAAAAAAAAAATAGGGAGAAATGGTTTCTTATCATTTAGGAGTGAAGAAGGCATAACATGGCACAAAACCCAGAAGTCATTACGAAAAAACTGATAAGATCAATTACATAAAAATTAAAACTTTTTTTTAAATTAAAGAATAAGCCAGGAAAATTTTTGCAGGGATTGACCAGGCTAATGCAATGCCTTCTCCAAGGACCCTGAAAACCCATCTTCCTGTACAACTACTGCCTCCATCCTTCTGGGAGGAAAACTGTAAGGTAAGCTTAAAGCAAAGTATTCAGAGACAAATTTTCCTCATGAGAACATAGGGAGCAGTTTATTGTGTCATAACCATTGCCCAGCCATCCCTACAGTGTGTCTGCCAGGAGCAGATTATAGAACCTACTATCATCTTCTATGTTCTTAATCTCTCATTGATAAGGATGTGCTTAGCATACACCTATATCAAGAAGAGGGAGAGGATAAACATATACTAGGCTCATTTCTTAGCATCTTAGCCCCTTAATAATGCTATAAGGTGGAGGTATCTGAGCACATTGTAGCTCAGAGGTGTTTCATAACTTGTCCAATGACAAACACATGGAAGGTGGAAGAGATGGGCTGCAAATCCACCTCTTCATTACCCGACAGCCCATGCTCTTTCTGTTACTCTACACCACCTACTCTGTGCCTCCTATAACCACAGAAGTCTTCCAAAGCTTCTATGTAGTTGGCCTCCCACCAGTCTTAAGGTAATGAGTATTTAAATGATCAGAAAGTGGCACTGAAGGAATCTTAAAAACTACATGCACTACTGTCCTCTCACTTTATCTCATTTGTAGCTCAACTGTCTCTTGCAAACATCCAAAAGTGCCTACAAGCTGCAAACCCTCGTCATTCTGAGACCTGATGAAAGTCAAATTTTTGTAAACATCAAATTTATCTTCCATATTGAAGCCTACAGGGATGCAGATGCATTTTCATGTATGTCTTAAATTGGTCACTAAGGAATATTTTTAACTCTTTCAGAGCACCAAGAGACCATTTATTGCCTCCCTCTAGAGGGAGGGTCTATAAATGGCCTTGGCACTAAGCCAAAGCAGTCCCCACCTTCCCTTTCCATGTGGCGTTCTGTTCCCTCTGACAGCTTGTCAAGATCCACACCTTTACTGTCTCTGGTTCTCCAGAGCACATCCAGGGTCTTACTCACTCTACCTTACTGACCCTAGTGGATCTTCCTATGTAGATCTGGAGTCTGGGGGCAGGGGTGGCTGAATGACTGAAAGCAAATGGAAATATATTGTTAGCACAGATAGAGCCAGGCCTGGGCTAGGAGTGTCAGTAAAATAAGAATAACTAGAACAGCAATCTAGCAAGTACCAAAAGCATGCTCAGGTACCTCCACCTTATCGCATTATTAAGAGGCTTAGAGGCTCAGAACTGAGCTTAGTAGATGTTGGTCCTCTCTTCTCAAAGTGGGTATATATTGAGCCCACCCTTATCAATGAGAGATTAAGAACCAGGAAAGCTGTCATGGGAGCAGTAAGTGGGGAGTACAAAACTTCTTGACAAGGAGGGTCAACAAAAGTGACAGAGGAGTCAGGGCATGAGGAACAGACATAAATTTGTTAAGAGATAAGAGAGGCAAGGACATTCCATGTTACTGAAAGAGCAGAAGCCAAGACTTAAGAAAATAGGTCCAAAGCCAGAAAAGAGGCATGAGAGTTGGAAAGGAGCCAGAGATGCCCTGTTGCCCAGCCTTGCCTGCTAAGATGTTTGGACTTAACCTGTAGGCTACTTGGATCCCACTGAAGAATGTGAAGTGAACAAGGAAGTGACATGATCCCATTTACATTTTAGAAAGCTCCCCTGGGGGATGTGGTGGTGTGGAGGGGTGAACAGAACTGGGGCAAGACTGAAAACAGGATATCAGTGAGGAGATGGTGGCAATAGTCCAGGAAAAGAATTTAAAAGGCTTGGGTTAAGGCAGAGGCAGTGAGAAAATGAATTCCAAATGTAACAACAACAACAGAAGATCTCAAGGACTGGCTATAGAAGACATGGAAAAAGAAGCATCTCATATCATTTTGTCATTGTAACTGTTGATGGTGGTACCATTAATGGAAAGAGATCATAAAAGAGAAGCAGTTAGTTTGTGTGAAGATGGATTGAATTTTGAACCCATCGAGTCTAAAACGCATGTAGAACATTCAGGTAGGGATACAGATACATGAGTCTCTAGCTCAGGAGACAGACATGTACTAGAAACAAATTTGTGAGTCATAAACATATGAAATTTATCACAATAGAAACAGATAACAAAAAAAAAAACAGAAAAAATAAATATAGTGAAAATAAAAGTAGGCCCTAGGCAGAGCACTAAAGAAGGCCAACAATTAAAGATTTCAAACTTTTAGTGATCATAAACTCCATCGAGAATCTACAGAAAGTTGTGACTCCACTCCTGACAAAGTGCACATCTATAAAAAAATTTTGCATACACTTTTAGAGAGAGAGACAGACCTCTTGAAGGTCATCATTTTAAGACACTCTGATTTAAGAGCAAAATGGCAGAGCAGGACACACTAAAGAAGGACAACCAGAAATATTATAGGACAACCACGAAATCAGCACTACCACAGAAGAAGGGAAGGTAAGTGTGACTGGGGAAGAATGAGCAAAGGGAATCAGAGGGTGAGATTACACAGACCCTGACCACCAAGTTGAGAACTTTGAACTTAATCATAAGAACAATGTACAGAAATTGAGAAGTTTTACACAAGGAAGCAACATCATCTGATTTGCATTTTTATAAGATCATTCTGGCTGCTGGATGATGAGTGGAAGAGAACAAAGATGCATTTATGACCTTTAGGACATGGTTACCAGAACACATATGCTCTGCACACTGAATGCCCAATTTCTAACTTGTCCTATCGTTTATTTTGTTTCTTCTCATCACTTTAGATAATCTATGTGGCCAGAAATCCCAAGGATAATCTGGTGTCCTACTACCATTTTCAAAGGATGAACAAAGCACTCCCTGACCCGGGAAGCTGGGATGAGTACTTCGAAACATTCCTGGCAGGCAACGGTGAGCCAAGTGCATGAAACCAGCCTTCACCTATATCTGCAGAGGATAAGTTTTCCCCATCAAATTCTCCTTCTTGGGAAATAAAATTCATCCATAGAAGGGGCTCAGATTTTCTTGGAGGGAAGGACTAGAGGCCACATCCTGAGATGTGGCATAGCCCTGGGCTGTAGTCTGTGGTCAGTGGATTTGCTTCCAATTGCAATATATCCTCTGAAGGAAGTCAAACCAGTATTACAGGCAAGCCAGCTATAAGACAAGGTCCCAACTCTAAGCCTATGTTAAATGTTTTACATGCCTTAACTTGTTTAATCTTTAGAACAACCTCATAAGCTTGGTAAGAATATTCATCATTTGTAGGTGATGAAACTGAGGCTCAGTGAGTTTGAGTAACTTGCCTATGATTACCCTGTTAGCGAGAGCAGTGGCTAGAATTTGAACATAGGCAGGTTTAGTTAAGCTCAAACCCTGTATGCTTGGCAGTTGAAGTCTTGACTGGCTGGTAACCATGTCCAATTGCCTACATGTTCAACTGGAAAGAAAGAAAAGGTTTAGTGTGCATGCAAGTTTTCCAATCACAACCATCATTTGAATTGGTGGTGCAGTGGTGGCCCCTGACACTGCAGGCTCACAAACTGTCATGTGCAAAAATGTATGATCTCTCAATCATGCTTCTAGTGTCAAAACTGAGTCTTCACAAGTTTCTTGATGTTTTTCTAAGTCTCAAATGCTGCTATATCTTTTAATACATCAACTGTTCTCCTAAAGAAGCCTAAAGAGTATGAAAAGGTGATGAGATTATTGAAGCTGGAAATTCATTTCATTCTTTCATGGAAATTCATTACACTATTTCCTCTACTCTTGCATATATTTGAATACTTTCATAATTAAAATATTTCTCAAACGTTTTCAAAAATGGTAATTTAAGGAAGCTTTACAAGGTTATACTTTTGGGGAAGTACAATATAAATGTAACATCAAACTGGTTTGCACCATGAAGTTGAATTGACAGCTTTGCAGGATTAAAACCTAAATATTTGCACCAAACCACTTTTTATTATTCAAGTTCAAAATTTATAACTGAAACACCTTTGCTAATTATTTATATAGTCCTATGGAGAAAAAACTGCCTTGTCACCTATATTTTTTTCTCTAAAATAATTATAAATAAATGTAATAAAGTAGTCCTTTCCATTAGTAACAAACCACCAGTAATGCAGGAAAATATGATAACTTTGATTGCCATTTGACTTTCATAATCTTAAATGACAAAAATTATTATTATTATTATTATTATTATTATTATTATTATTATAGTCTTCTCCTTATGAGATATACTTTGAAAATGATCCATTGTACCCCAAGGTAGTTTCACTTGTTGAATGTCTCCAGTAAATTTCCTTGTAGGTGTTCTAACAATGATGTCAGAATGTCTTTGGACAAAGAGTGATCCCTAAGAAAGTGACCTCATTGACAAGTTGAGACATTGGGCTTGTGCGGGGCCAGGACTGGGCTGATGTAGATGACTGTTCCTAAATCAGAGAGCTGAGAGGATAGTTCCAACTCCTTGCCCTGCATCAGGCAAGTTGCACACCAGAGAAGAGAAGCACTGACATCAAACACAGCCTTAGGGCTACTCCTCTACACACACACACACACACACACACACACACAGAGAGAGAGAGAGAGAGAGAGAGAGAGAGAGAGAGAGAGAAACTCCTGAAGAAGCATCTTCAGGGCCAATAGCATGGAACATGGGTAGAAGGAATCAAGAATAAGAAGTAGAACAGTAGCAGCTCCCTCTATTTATGAGGGGGACTACCATGCTGAGGTATTTCACCCAGCTGGAGTAGCACAAGTGCTTTCTGCCAAAGTGCAGATAGACTGGCCCTAGGTCTCGGTCATCTACCCATACAGCTTGTCCTGATCTAAGCAGGTTCCTGCAGCATAGGATTCTCAGTAATTAAACTGACACAGCCCTATACAGAAGAGAATGTCTGGTCACCCTATGACTACATTGCATGCCAGAAGAGAGAAATGGGTTGAACAGATACTCCCTAATGATTGGAAGCTATCACTGGGAGTGGGACCGAAGTGCTCTTAGACATCCTAGTATCAAAGAGACTTTTAGACACATCCTACCTAATCTTTACACTGTGTGAATGAAACATAAGAAAGGCAAATTTTGGCAGAAGGGATAATATAATAGAAGAAAGGGGAAAATATTACCAAATTTTTTACTTAAATTTTCAAATGACTTTTGTTGAGTAGCTACTATGTGTCAGACACTTACTATTATACTTTGTCCTAGGCACTACCAGACTAATGCTTTTATATGTCTTAGCATTGGCCCATACTATTATTTCTCCCACCTTAAAATAACATTTAAAAACCACTCTGTTGACCCTACCTCCCCAATCCCAGTTACCTCCCCCATCTTTCCCTCCATTTACTGCAAACACCCTGTAGCACTGGCTGACACTGTTATCCTCAGTTTCTCTCCCAACACCACCAAACCTGTCCTGCCAGGGTCACCATGACTTCCACATCACTAAATCCAATGATCAATACTCTGTCCTCGTCTCATTTAATCCATCAACATTATCTAACACAATTGGTCATACTCTCTCTTCCTTGAAAAGATTTCTTATTGGCTCCCAGGACCCCACCCTCCCCTGACATTCCTCCTACGTCTCTGTTCCTTCTCAGTCTCCTTTGCTGGTTTCTCTTTATCTCCCAGATGTCTACAGTTGGCTCCTTTCTCTCTTCTACCTACATCATTCCTTGCTCAATATCACTCACTTTGTGGTTTCAGATGTCACCTGTCTGCTGATGACTCCAAGATTTGCACTAGTCCTGGCCTTGGCCATGGGCTCCAGGTGCAGAGACCCAGCTGCCTTACCAACGTCTCCACCGGGATGTGTACAGGGCATCTTAGACTTCATGTGTCCAAATCTTAACTCCTGCCTCTCCTACCAGAACCTGCTTTTCCTTCAGCCTCTCCTTCTTGTTAATTGTGACTCTCTCCCTTAAATTACTCAGGCCTAAAATCTTGATCTTATCTTGAGCTTCTTTGTTTTTCATATACCCCATCCAGCCCCCGAAAGAAAAACCCCACGAGAAAATCTGTCAACGCTAAGTGTGATTAGATTGCACACTTCCGGAAGTGCGAGGAATGCTCAGATTCTGGACTTAGTTTGGTCCAAAGTATCATCAGATTTTCCCTGGATGAACGAAACAGCCTCTGCCCCTACTTTTGCCCTTGCCAACCTACACTCTACTCTCAACAAAGAAACCAGAGAGATTCTACTAAAAGGGAAGTCAGACCATGCAACTCCTCTATCGGAAGCCCACGACTGGCATCCCATCTCACTCAGAGTAAAGTCAGAGTACTCAGGGCATCGCACAGGCCCACAGGGCCAGGCCTCACACTTCTTGCATCTCTCCCCACTCCCCTGGCCTCACTCACTCTGTCCTGGTTCCCCAGGCACACCCAGAACCTCCTACCCAGTGCCTCCCCTGGCTGTAACCTCTGCCCAGCAGGGCTCCTCCATTCTCTTTTTTCAGGGTTGTGCTCAATAATCCCTTCTTCTGACCAGCCTACCTAACTGTCAGCCTCCTATGCACTCTCAACGTTTTCCCTCTCCTTCCCTGGTTATTTGTTTTGTTATTTGGGTTATTTGTATTGCTAAGCACACACTGTGTTCTAGCATTCTGCATATTTCACATCTATCTCTTTTGTCTCCCCCATAAAATGTACTTCCAAAAGCAGGGCTTTCTGCCTATCTTGTGTGCGCTGCTCTGTCTCTAATACCTAGGACAGTGCTGAGCACACAGTAGATGTTACAGAATACATTTAAACAAACATTACCCTACAAGATAGTTACTATTACTAACCTCCCTTCAGAAGATTGTTTTTAAAAAGCACAGGCTCCGAAAGGTTAAGTAACTTGCCCAGGGTCATGCAGCTCTAAGGGTCAAAGCTAAGATTCAAGCCTAAGAGGTTCTGGAGACTAAGAGAGTAATCTTGCCAGCTTCCAAAAGGAAGAAAAGTTGTGCTGAAACAGAGGCAGGAAGTGTGATAAGTAAGTTCTCCTGATCACATCTTCCATTTGTATCTTATGGAAACAGCTTAATTTTTTTCCCTGGGTTTTTCTACTCTCAGCTTCCCATGGCCCAAATATGTATGTGTCTTTCTTTCAGTGGTATGGGGGTCCTGGTTCGACCATGTGAAAGGCTGGTGGAAGAAGAAAGATAGTCACCCCATTCTTTATCTTTTCTATGAAGATATGATGAAAGTAAGAATAATATTTGAATTTTAATTTCACAGTATTTTGTCTCAGAGTTAGAGCTCCATGGTAGAAGAGAAGGCAAGTCATACTTGAAAGCTTATCTATGCAAAATATTTTGCATGTCAACTCCAACTTCTCCAACCACCTTGCCATGTAGCATACAAAATTCCAAACAAAATACCTTATATATGGTTTTCCATAGCAGGCAGCCTGCTTCCTCCTGCAGTCTCACTGCACTCTGGAGTCTATTCCTACCTCATCCAAAAGCATAGAAGACGTGTCCTTTTTGAGACAGTTTTCTTCCTCTCTAGGTCTCTAGATTCCTCCTTCCAAAATCTCTACCTCCCACCATAACTTGCTCTGACTTCTGAGGAAAAGAATTAAGAACCCTAACAGGAAAGAACTAGTGAGGAAGAATATAGCTGATTTGATTTGGATGCTTTCTTAAAATACTAAAATTTTGTCATTTGAAACAAAAGATCCTCATCAGCAACATATTTTGCATGTGCAATTCCTGATTCAAATCTATCTCATAAGTTTCTATGTAAAATAAATAATTATGGCACAGTGTTCCTGACTGGTCTCCAAGCCTTGATTTAGGACTGGATTCAATAACCAACTTGTGTCCTTCACTGACCATGGCTTCTATTTCCTCTTTCTTCTCTGGGTAGACAGAATCCTGGCTTCTTTCTTTCCTTCTATCTATTCAGGTAGTGTCAAAGTTCCTCTTTCTGTTTGTCCTTGCTCTATACAGCTTTGTAGGTGCTAGCACAGCCCTCACCTCCCTCAGCCCTGTGTCTGTGCCAGGGAGCAAAGGAGCAGCACGGGCTGGGCAAGCTAGGCAAGAAGGACAGACATGTGATAGAACTGCTAGTGAGGAGAGAGGAGGCCTGCAAGGCAAGCCTGGAGATCTCCAAACCAGGTGACTCTCACACCAAACTGAACCCCTCCTCTTCACTTCTGGTTGAGGTGGGAACTTATCTCAGAGAGTAAGGGCTTTTGTGAGGTCTATCTGCCAAGAGGTCTTCCCAGGAGGCCCACACTCAGGAATAAGCTCAGATGTAGAGTCAGGAGACATCAAAAGCAGCAACAGAGACAAAACGGCACCATGCTGCTTTTGTGCCATGCCAGAGCAGTGAGGATGCCATATATTTTTGTTTCTCCAATCAGAAGGAGGAAATACAGCTTGCTTATTTTGAAAGATACCCACCTCTTCTCCCAAGTACCTTCTTTTTTTATTTACTTATTACTATTATTATTTCAATAGTTTTGGGGAAACACATGTGTTCAGTTACATGGATAAGTTCTCTATGTGTGATTTCTGAGATTTTGGTGCACCCATCACCCAAGCAGGGTACACTGCACCCAATGTGTAATCTTCTATCCCTCACCTCCTCCCACACTTCTGCCCAAGTCCCCATAGTCCTTTATATCATTCTTATGCCTTTGCATCCTCATAGTTTAGCTCCCACTTATAAGTGAGAACACACCATGTTTGATTTTTCATTCCTGAGTTACTTCTAATGGTCTCCAGGCCGGGCACGGTGGCTCACGCCTGTAATCCCAGCACTTTCAGAGGCTGAGGCACGCAGATCACGACGACAGGAGATTGAGACCATCCTGGCTAGCACTGTGAAACCTCGTCTCTACGAAAAATACAAAAAATTAGCCAGGCGTGGTGGTAGGCGCCTGTAGTCCCAGCTACTCAGGAGGCTGAGGCAGGAGAATGGTGTGAACCCCGAAAGGTGGAACTTAAAGCGAGCCAAAATCGCGCCACTGCACTCCAGCCTGGGCAACAGAGTGAGACTCCGTCTCAAAATATAAATAAATAAATAAAAAGGAATAATGGTCTCCAACTGCATCCAGGTTGCTGTGAATACCATTACTTCATTCCTGTTTATAGCTGAGTAGTATTCCATGATATATACATCACATTTATCCACTCATTGGTTGATAAGCATTTAGGATTTTCCATATTTTTGCAGTTGCAAATTGTGTTTTTATAAATATGCATGTGAAAGTGTCTTTTTCATATAATGACTTCATTTCTTCTGGGTAGATATCCAGTAGAGTTTTACTAGTTTGCTGGATCAACTGGTAGCTCTACTTTTAGTTCTTTAAGGACTCCCCATACTGTCTTCCATAGTGGTTGCACTAGTTTACATTCACACCAGCAGTGTAAAACTATTTCCTTTTTACCATATCCATGCCAACATCTATCATTTTTTAATTTTTTAATCATGGTCATTCTTGCAGGAATAAGGTGGTATCACATTGTGATTTTGATTTGCATTTCCCTGATAATTACTGATGTGCATTTTCATATGTTGGTTGGTCATGTGTATATCTTACTTTGAGAATTGTCTATTCATGTCCTTAGACCACTTTTTGATGGGTTTGTTTCTTCTTGTTGATTTCTTTGAGTTCCTTGTAAATTCTGGATATTACTCCTGTATCAGATGCATAGTTTGTTAATATTTTCTCCCACACTGTGGGTTGTCTGTTAACTCTGCTGATTATTTCTTTTGCTGTGCAGAAGCTTTTTAGTTTAATTAATTCCCATCTATTTATCTTTGTTTTTGTTGTGTTTGCTTCTGGGGTGTCTTGGCCATAAACTCTTTGCCTAGGCCAATGTCTAGAAGAGATTTTCCAATGTTCTCTTCTAGAATTTTTATGGTTTCAGGTCTTAGATTTAAGTCTTTGACCCATCTTGAGTTGATTTTTGTATAAGGTTAAAAATGAGAATCCAGTTTCATTCTTCTATATGTGGCTTGCCAATTATCCCAGCATCATTTGTTGAATAGGATGTCCTTTCCCCACTTTATGTTTTTGTTTGCCTTGTCAAAGGCCAGTTGGCTGTAAGTATTTCACTTTATTTCTGAGTTTTCTATTCTGTTCCATTGGTCTATGTGCCTGTTTTTATACAAGTACCATGCTGTTTTGGTAACTATAGCTTTGCAGTATAGTTTAAAGTTGGGTAATGTGATGCCTCCAGATATGTTCTTTTTGCTTAGGCTTGCTTTGTCTATGCAAGCTCCTTTTTTGTTCCATATAAGTTTTACAATTGTTTTTTCTAGTTCTGTATAAAATAATGACAGTTGGGCACAGACACTCATGCCTATAATCCCAACACTTTGGGAGGCTGAGGTGGGTCAGGAGTTCAAGACCAACCTGGTCAACATGGTGAAACCCCATCTCTACTAAAAATACAAAATTAGCTGGCCATGGTGGCACATGCCTGTAATCCCAGCTACTCGAGAGGCTGAGGCAAGAGAATCACTTGAACCCGGGAGGCGGAGGTTGTGGTGAGCCAAGATCACACCATTGCACTTCAGCCTAGACAAGAGACGAGACTCTGTCTCAAAAAAAAAAAAAAAAAATGATATTTTGATGGGAATTGCATTGAATTTATAGATTACTTTTTGGCAGTATGGTCATTTTCACAATGTGATCCTACCCATCCATCAGCATTGGTGTGCTTCTATTTGTTTGTGTCATCTATGATTTCTTTCAGAAGTTTTTTGTAGTTTTCCTTGTAGAAGACAAGAGCGAGACTCTGTCTCGAAAAAAAAAAAAAAAAAAAAGATATTTTGATGGGAATTGCATTGAATTTATAGATTGCTTTTGGCAGTATGGTCATTTTCACAATATTGATCCTACCCATCCATCAGCATTGGGTGTGCTTCTATTTGTTTGTGTCATCTATGATTTCTTTCAGAAGTTTTTTGTAGTTTTCCTTGTAGAGGTATTTCACCTCTTTGATTAGGCATATTACTAAGTATTTTATTTTTTGCAGCTATTGTAAAGGGGGTTGAGTTCTTGATTTGATTCTCAGCTTGGTCACTGTTGGTGTATAGCAGTGCTACTAATTTGTGTACATTGATTTTGTATCCTGAAACTTTACTGAATTCATTCGTCAGATCTAGGAGCTTTTTGGATGAGTCTTTAGGGTTTTCTAGGTATGCAGTCATGTTCCTGGAAAACAGCAACATTTTGACTTCCTCTTTACCAATTTGGATGCCCTTTATTTCTTTCTCTTGTCTGGCTAGGACTTCCAGTACTATGTTGAATAGAAGTGGTGAAAGTGGGCAACCTTATCTTCTTCCAGTTCTCAGGAAAAATACTTTCATCTTTCCCCTATTCAATATAATGTTGGCTGTGGGCTTGTCCTAGATGGCTTTTACTATCTTAAGGCATGTCCCTTCAATGCCGATTTTGCTGAGGGTTTTGATCATAAAGGGGTACTGGATTTTGTCAAAGGCTTTTCCTGCATCTATTGAGATGATCGTATGATTTTTGTTTTTATTTCTGTTTATGTGGTGTATCACATTTATTCACTTGCATGTGCTAAACCAGCTCTGCCTCCCTGGTATGAACCCCACTCGATCATGGTGTATTATCTTTTTGATATGCTGTGGGATTTAGTTAGCGAGTATTTTGTTGAATATTTTTGCATCTATGTTCACCAGGGATATTGGTCTGTAATTTTTTTTTGTTATGTCCTTTCCTGGTTTTTATATTAGGATAATACTGGCTTCACAGAATCATTTAGGGAGGACTGCCTCTTTCTCTGTCTTTCGAATAGTTTCAATAAGATTGGCGCCAATTCTTCTTTGAATGTCTCATAGAATTCAGCTCTTAATTCATCTGTTCCTGGACTTTTTTGTTGGCAATTTTTTTATACTGTTTCAATGTCACTACTTGCTATTGGTCTGCTCAGAGTTTCTATTTCTTCCTGGTTTAATCTAGGAGAGTTATATACTTCCAGGAACTTATCCATCTCTTCTAGGTTTGCTAGTTTGTGTGCTTAAAGGTGTTCTTAAATTATCTTTTGTATTTTTGTGACATTGGTTGTAATATCTCCCATTTTCTAATTGAGCTTATTTTGATCTTCTCTCTTTTCTTGATTAATCTCACTAATGGTCTATTGATTTTATCTTTTCAAAGAATGAGCTTTTTGTTTCATTTATCTTTTTTGTTTTAATTTCATTTAGTGCTAACCTGAT